TGACTTTCGTGTCAATTTCGATCAAATATTTAGATTTGATCTGATAGTGAAATTATGAAAATAAATAAACTAACTTGTTCTACTCGTCGAGCAAATCTTCGTGGTGTATTTGAAATCTCCAAATCAATTCGAAATTACGGTTTAAAGTTGAAAGGAAAAGAAAGGAAACTGACTGGTTATTTATCTAATTTCGTCACTCGCATAGGGCTCGAGTGGAGATGTTGTGCTCCAGTGACTGGCTAGCCACATAATTTCTGTTTCTGATGCTCAAGTGACAGGCTAGCGACTTCAATAGCTACTACCCTTGGCAAAGATTGCAGAGTTTGGGGTACGACACTTCACTCACAACATTTCCTCCTCTATAAATTAGACCGTTGGGACGTCCATTTGATCATCCCAATGATATGCAATCATAGTATAGCATTAAATTTATCTTTTTCTAGTCGAAATTTTGCATAAAAAACTGTTTTTTTTTTTTTTTTTCATTTTCATTTGAAGGAGTATAAAAATCAATCTTCGGTTCATTGTTCTTGTATTTTGAAGTGCTACTAACACAAGAAAATTTTCGTTGTATTTTGAGAGTCGATTGTCATTATCTGTGGGCACCGTTGCGAGGCAAATTCGACTTAAGTACAAAAGTGTAACTCTTGTCTCGACTTTGCATACATTTCTTATGGTGATACTTTTGACATTTTTTCCTTTGGTATTCATCACTCAAATCCATCATTTTCTTCAACACAACTTTCTTCTCTCACGATATTGCATCCGCCTTCCCGTATTCAATTTCAAGTTAATTTTTAGTTAATTACTTTCGAAAAAGAAAAGTAATAAAGATTCGTGTGGACGGGCCAAAATCCCAACCCACATTCATTGATGAGGCATGCTGAATGGGGCATTTGAGGCTCAACAATTTTTTTAATTTTTTTGGTTCTTTAAATAATTTTTCAGAATAACTGGAAAAACAAGAAAGACTTACGTCGACCCAACCCGGGCCACATTTACAGTTGAATCCGTTGCTCAAGCTATAAGAGCAGTGGGCCATTTGAGGCTTTTCATACTTAGCTGAAGTTGTTGATAAGTGCGTTTTGTGCACTTAATTATGCGACAAACATGATTAATTGTTGATATAAATGCTTGAATAAGGCTTAATTCAATATGAATTGTGTTTGTAGGTTTACTTTGATGGAAATAATGAAATATGCGCGA